ACACAAACACAACACACTCATCACAACACAAACACAACACAACACACTCATCACAACACAAACACAACACACTCATCACAACACAAACACAACACACTCATCACAACACACTCATCACAACAGAAACACAACACACTTCCGTATCCTGAATATACTCATCACAACACAAACACAAACCACACAAACACAATACACTCATCACAACACACTCATCACAACACAAACACAACACACTCATCACAAATAATCACATTAATATTTAAGTACAAAATTCGAATTTAGTTTTTCAGTCATTTTGACAGCCCTAATTTGAAGGTCTTATTTTGAGGAAGGGTGACTCTAGGAGCGTTTTAAGCCGGCTCGAGCAGCATGTGTCTTACGTGGAAGATCTGGTTGGAGAGTTTGGCGGTCGTCTCAAAGTCCCAGGCGATGAGCGTCCGGTCGGAGGAGTCTCGACTGACGGCGTCGGTGCTGCTGACCAACTCTCTCCCGCCGCTCAGGAACAAGACATCCAGCGTCTGCTGAACCGCCGCCTTATACACCCGCAGCATCTGGAGACACACGCACAGAACCGCTGAGACACTGAGCGCAGAGGATCATGGGAAGGCTCGGAATCAGACTGACCTTACAGCAGCGAGCGTCCCAGGCTCTGACCTCTGGACTGAAGCCTCCGCACACAAAGACGTCGGGATCAGAGGGTCGCGGAGCGACGCAGCACACCTTAAATCCATTCTCCATCTGTGTGATCGTCTTACCTGAGGAACATCAGTCAGTCAATCAATCAGTCAGTGTCATGAGTTTATCACAGCGTCTGTGAGCTGCTGCAGAAATGTGTCCCTGCAGCACAAAAGCAGTCATAAGCAGCACAGGTATATTTGTAGCAATAGCCAACAATACATTGTATGGGTCAAAATTATCTATTTTCCTTTTATGCCAAAAATCATTAGGATATTAAGTAAAGTTCATGTTCCATGAAGATATTTTGTAAATGTCCTACCGTAAATATATCAAAACTTAATTTTTGACTAGTAATATGCATTGCTAAGAACTTCATTTGGACAACTTTAAAGATGATTTTCTCAATATTTAGATTTTTTTGCACCCTCAGATTCCAGATTTTCAAATAGTTGCATCTCAGCCAAATATTGTCCTATCCTAAATTTTCAATCAAATGAGATTTCAATCTCATTATTGGTTTCTCTCTGAACGGTGAGAATGTATCTCGTCATCTACAGGCTGATGTTTGGGGCGCGATGAGAATCATCCTCCTGCATAATTATAATACGCTTCCCCAGTGTTTTTAATTAAGAAATGTAATTAGCACAGCGCTGACGGCCAATAAGAAACATGTCTCTCATGAGCAGATAAAGTCAGTGCACAGGAAACACACATCAGCTCATTTCTATAATGAATCAACAGAAGATGATCTGATTCAGTTCCTCGTGTAAGGTTCTTTTGCACTGAATCACATACAGATCAGTCTTCAGCTGAACCCGATCCACTCTCAGGACATTTCTCGGCTCATTTGTGGAAGAGTGAAGGTGAACTGACCCGTCTCCACATCAGTGATCGCTGCGCTGCCGTCAAACGAGCCTGAGAGGAGGCGTCGCCCGCAGGCCAGCCAACAGGCATCGCGCACGGAGCCGCGGTGGGCGGAGTAAGTCTGTAAGCACCGCCCACTGCCAACACCATCCCACACCTGAAACACAGAGACTCAGATGACATTATTACTGCCGCATTACTTTCTACTAAAGCTGCTCTGATTAAACTGGCGCCACACTCTGTCATGAATTACGCGACAGATTTCACATTAAAACACTCCTGTTGTGTTGCAGGTCAATTTGACGCACATTAAAGAACACACACACACACACACACACACACACAAAACACCCCGGAGCACAAAACCAGTCATAAGGGTCAATTTTGTGAAATTGAGATTTATGCATCACCTGAAAGCTGAATAAATAATATTTCCATTGATGTATGGTTTGTTAGGATAGGACAATATTTGGCTGGCTGACAACTATTTGAAAATCTGGAATCTGAGGGTGCAAAAAAAT